CCAAAGACAGCGATTTTCAGAAACTATAGGGTATCAGACCCGAACCAAGTGCATACAGGGTGACACAAAATCCCGAACCACGTTTCCAAGTGTCCTAAATTGGAAACCAAACTTAGTGAAGTGCTCCAACGGCCGATTAGGTCGCAACACATTCCAACAACTAGATCGTGGAATCTTCACCTGAGCTCATTGAACTCAGAACTTTCCGTCGATGATAGCCATAGGCCATACATCAAGAGGGAAAGGAACGAGATGCTAGGGAATTCTCCAGCTGCCGAGCAGGCATCCAACGCACTGGCACTGGAGATGAAGAGAGACCCTGGACACTACGATCCTTCCCGTCCCATCATACGACCTGTTGATAATGCTTAGGGGAGAGGCTAGTCGAGCCGAGACTGACCCAGGACGAGACGCATCCGCGTCGTGGCGCCCAACGTGGGACCACTACCGGGGATAGGCAACCGACTTATCTCGTAACCCAACCAGGCGACCAACCGGCGGCCCTAATTCTGGAAGAGACCAATAGCACTCCGCGACATTAGCTCTGAAAACGAATTCGAAACTCATTTTTGAAACGGAAACATTTTATTAAAGTGCCTGATATAGTGATATGTATTTTTTATTTTTCTCTTTGCTTTTTTCAGTGAGAAATTCTTAATTAAACAAAACTAATTCATACAAATTGCCCTTGACTGATCCTTATGGAGCAAGGGTTTATTTCATTATTTTTTTTTTCACATGGTCAAAATGCCCAAATAAGTAGAAATAAAAATATTTATTTTTTGTAAAGTTTTTTTATACAGTTTTCTGTTTAGATTCTAGTGGCTGGATGTACAGGGTATTTTAAAATGTATGTTGTTAGATTTTTGTTCTTATAGCAAAACTATTATTCTTCTTCATTACAATAAAGAAATTAATTAATAAACATCTTCGACTTGTAAAAGTTAAAAAATCAAACAAACCTATTTATTATTTTACTAAGTCAAAGTTGCACAAGAAAGTAAAAGCAGCATTACACCTAATGTATGAAGTAGGTAAGTGTTTGTATTGATATTTAATTGTACCCACATGAGAATACTACGAACGAAACATGACATACATTACTGGAATCGTTTTGGACACAGCATTTAAAGAAGGAAGAGAATACCCACCAGGAAAGATACTACTTACATAATATGATACAGCAGGGTGGGGATTCCTCAATTTCAGTTGACTCGAAATATAATTCTTCTCCACATTTAATGGAATACAACATTCTGCTAGTTGGTTGCGCTGAAAAGTGACGGACAACACAATATTTTTTGGATTTATAACCAGGTATTTATATCTTAAGGATTAATTATATATTTAAATATATATGTATATTGCAGGACTATTACTATTATTAAATATTAATATAATTTCAAATAATTTTGTAAGTGAAATATTTTCAGACTTCCATGTTTTAATATATTTTTTTTATTTGTATTTTTTTATATAAACTATTGTGGTTTAGCTTTTAAACTCAGTACCTATTAAAAAATATAGTTTAAGCCCTGGGTATAATATTGGTACTATTTTACAGTACGCTCGAAATAACTGCAAANAGTACTTGAAGAGTTTGACGAAAATCGTCAGACTAGTACGAGAAAAACAGCAATGCACTTAAATGTGTCCCATAGTGTTGTTTGGAATATTGTCCATGATAATTTATTATATCCTTTTCACCACCGGCCAGTTCAAGCTCTACTTGAACCAAACATGCATAAGCGAGTTGTTTTTTGCGAATCGTATCTTAATCTAAGAAATAATTAGAATTTTGCCTCAAAGATACTTTTCATAGATGAAGCAACTTTTCAAAGACATGGTTTAACCAATATGCACAATCTTCATTCCTGGACTCATGAAAATCCTCACGAAGTATCTATGACAACATTTCAACATAATTTTAGTTTAAACATTTGGGCAGGAATTGTAGAAAATGTGCTTGTCGGCCCTTTCGTTTTACCTCATCGACTTGGTGCTGTTGAATATTTGCAGTTCTTAAATGAGCATCTACCACCACTTCTGGAGGAAGTACCATTAAATGTACGTCAGGCCATGTGGTACATGCATGACGGGGCTCCTGCTCACAGCACTGTAGTAGTTAGGCGGTGGCTTAATTTAAATTACCCGAATCGTTGGATAGGTCGCGGCAATGAGGCACCTATCTCTTGGCCTGCACGTTCTCCCGATCTAACGCCCATGGATTTTTTCTTTTG